GGAATAACATCTCTGGGCGCAAATTGGATGACAACTCGGGGGGCACACTGCTGTGAGTTCTCAGAAATCGGCTCCTTGAGCACAAGAAATGACAACATCATAGAACGCAAGTATGGCGAAGCTCGCGGCTCTCCAATGGGGGATTGAGAGACCAGTGTTGGACTGTAGAACTGCCTTGAAATTCATATTTCCAAACCACCATCACTTTATGCGGATACCCCTTTGGCGCCAGCGGCAAGGCTGGAGCTGAACAAAACACCCTGATAACGACTGTGCTTAGTCTGTTCCTTCCCATTCAATGCAAGGCCACCTGGGTTGGCTGGTAGACTGTTTACTTAGCCTGGCAGGACACTGTCTCAGCTGAACTATGGACACGCACACACATACACTTACACTGATAAGCACACACTCATCCCCCTCCCTTTCCAAACACCTTTGACGCTTGTTTCCTGCGGGGGAACACGGCGGGTCTGTGTGCCGCGCTGGAATGGTAGCGCTGGAATGGCTGTTGTGTTCGCTTCGGATTACTCGTCACCCCCCACCCAATCCTGTTGCTTGTCATGTCCACAGCACACAATGTTGTGCTGTGGACATTTATGTGCTTTTTGTGCAGAGGAGTTTTTTTGTTTCCTGTTCTCATGCTGTCCTACCATGGAAGCACAGCATGAGTAGAGGTCTCTTTTTTTCCTCTTGTACTTTCCCATTGTAGTGTACATTTCAGTGTTTTTCTGTAACGCTACCGATCCCCGACTTGTATCCCCATGGGGAGGGGGGGTGTCCCATTTCACTGCAGGGCAACCTGCATGTGGCAAATAAAGCTTTGATTGATTGATTGATTGATTGATTGATTGATTGATTGATTGATTTTATTTTAATCCCATCATGTTGCCTAGAACATGAGGGCATGCAAAAAAAATCCCGTCTTGCCCCTTCGGGCATTCTATCCTTCAAGCTTGGGTTCTCTACCACAGGCTAATGATATATGTAGTGTAGCTACATCTATTGACCACCCTATGGGGAGTGTCCTATTTTGACCTCGTGACTTCCAGGCCATACAGATATTCCTGTATACTATGCCGATCAGTTGGTTATAGCCAGGGGTGGAAGTAACGAATTACAAATACTCACGTTATTGTAATTAAGTAGATTTTTTTGGTACTTGTACTTTTACGAGTAATTTTTCAAGTGTGTAATTTTACTCATACTTGAGTACAACTTATACCATGTAATCTACTTTGTTACTTATAAATTCAAAAGTCGCTACTGAGTACGCCCACAATTTGAATTAATATTCAAACCTTTCGTCTGCATTTTTGCAGCCAATAATGCCGTGCTATTGCGACTGCGCCAATTTAAGACGTAAGCAAATAATAAACTCCGCTGCAGCAGCAGGCACAGGTGTCTAGAGGTGCTAAATGGTGGGGTATAAACTACTTTATAGACGGAAGATTTGGAGACAAAGAAGCCAAATGAAGACAGAGGACAACACTGTCAACCATGAAAACGACGTAGAAAAGATGGAGGACGAGTGCCCCTCGTGGCCGTACCTGGAGGAATTTTTCATGTACAGAGGGAGAAAAGGGGACAGCGTCCAGATGCAGTGCAAACTTTGTTTGACCTCATTCGTAGGAATGTTTTAGCTTATTATTTGGACAACCACCGTCATTACAATAAATTGTAATTTGTAGTCATTTAAAAGTCACAGGCCTACAATCAGCTGGCCTATATTAAAAAAAAAGACTGGAACATAGTGCTGAGCTGCATCTCAAATTAATCTTCCAGCTCTCAGCTGACATGTACCAGAGCCCGATTGATGGA